TTTGAAACAGCTGGACTTAAAAATATTTTTTTAGTAGGCGTGTTTAACTACTATAAAACCAAGTGCAGTGGCTCTTACCTGGTAGTTCCAAAAAGATGACTTGTCACCTTTCTTACTTTCGCTTTTTAGAATGCCTTCTTTGCAATCAGTGATTCAACATCTCAGTCACCTGTATTCCACTATGTACATGTGGGCCCCACTGATGCCAAAAGCAGTGGTAGAAGATCAGAATATATCCTGAATTATTTTCAATAAAAACCACTTCTGAAATTAGACTAGGTACAAGCAAAGGCAATGGCTTGTCATTTCAATATGCAAAATAGAAAGCTGGTCTGGTTACTCACTTCATGTTTGAAAGATTATTGTTTGCTCCCTTTTCTTCTCACTTTGCATTCTTTGATGAGTTCCACTGAAAAGAAGTTTTTAGTTTATTGTTTTCAGCCCTCTTTTAAGACTTTTGCCCAGCATCTGTTTCCTTTCCATTCTTTTTGCAGACAGGGGATGTTAGATCTCTATGTTAGAGGTGTGACTTTGTTCTGGATTCAGCTGTAACAGTTATTTTTGTCCTCCTTAGTAGCTGTTGCAGTGCAACAGAGAAAGAAAGAGCTGAAAGAATGTAGCACGGATTTTGGGTCCATATACAGAGCTTTACTTGGCTTGTCTGCGACCACACTCACTCCAGAGGGGACAGTTTTTCAGAAATCATTAAGCTTGGTAAGCTATATAGCTCATTTGTCCACTGGAGGAGATGGAGAGCAGGAGAGGCTAGTGTATCTAACCACTACCCTAATGTCTACAGCAGAATTAAGATTCGTGGAGCCAGAAAGGAGTTTGAATATATTAGACCTATTCTGGTGCTTCCCCTGCCTGAACTGTAACTGTAAGCAAGGACAAGGTCAAGATAGATTCTCACTGAATCTTTTCATAGAGAGCTTTGAATTCCTTTTTTTTAATGTACTTTGTCATTATTTTTAAAGACGATTTTTAAAGATCATCCATCCACAAACACTTCCATGCTCAGAATTTCAGTGTTTAAGATGGTGTCAACCAATTTGCTCTTGAATAAACACTTTTTCCTTTTTTTTTTTTCTTTTTTTAATTCAAGGGGTCACAGAATGATCTGATTCTTTTGTCTGCTGCCCTCATTTGCCACCAGCCAGGTCTCATATCTTCTCTCATCTGCAGTATGCACATTTGCCTTTGAGGGGCAAGATAGTTTTCCATTCTCTTGCCCATTTCCTTGACGTCCTCTTATGTCCTAAAATTTAGCCATACAGAAAATGTGCCACACTAGGAAAGTTATCACATGAGAATGTGACCCATATGAGAGAAAATTAAATAACCAGGTGCCATTGTGGATAGAATGTCCTTAAAATGCAGATGTATTGCATACAGTACATCGTCTTTAAAATACAAATGTGCTGTACATATACTGTACTCAAATTTTATCTGGGTTTGATTGGATTCTTTTTATGCTTGATAGCCAATTTTTTGTAGGTTTTAGACTACTATTTGCTTTAAAGGGATGCCTAATGTATTAAAACATTGCTTTAATAAATACATTTATTGTTGTTAGCTGGATTATTAAGATGAAAAGATGTAATAAACTTGATTAGTTTGGGAAGTCAATGGAAGCTTGGCCATTCGAATTTCTAATTCTATTAATTAGATTGTGATTGGATTAATATTTGCAGTGCAATAGTGTTCAAAAAGAAGTGCTGGTATCTTCAAAGAGAACTGCGTAAGTAGTTAACTCCCAAGTGCTTTGGGGGATTTATCAGCTTGTTTCTAGAAATATGTGGCAGATCCAAGGTATTAAAACAATATTTACCTTCCAAAAAATACAGGGTTCTTTTCACTGTCTTTTTGTTTGTTTGGTTGGTTGGTTTTGTTGTTTTTTCCTTTCTCTTCACTTAGAATCCCAAGTAAAATCTCCTTTTGTCAATAGAATATTTTGGCTACAGAAAACCTCACATAGCAGCTGATTTTTTTGTTGTTGTTGTTCATTGGGCTACTGGTTTAGAACAGAAAATTGTTGCTGCTGCAAATAAGTGCAACGTATCAGCCTGTTCAGAGTATTTCTTCACATAGGTGTAACAAGGATTAGAACTGAAACAGAAAATCAAACTGAACAGAGAAGCCTAAGCACAGTCCATAGGTTAGAAATGAAAAGAAATACGATTTGCTGAGCTGAGGTGATTTGCCGTTTCTTAAAAAATACAGACAAAGTGAAATGACTGCAAGCACCTCTTAGAAAAGAAGTGCAGAAAAATACTAAAATGGTGTTTCTGCACAGATACATGCAGGTAAATGAGTTGTTCTTATTGTGGTAATTTGTGCAGGAAAGAGAATGTCAAAATGATAGAAAAAAGAAAATAAAGAGCTGGCAGGATGAGGTTACATCTCTGATGATGATAGCTGGGATATACCTATTTCATTGTGTTGCTGAAGAGAAGGTAGTTCTGTGAATAGATTGTGGGTGGCTACTCTTAATAGCCTAAGCCCTGTGAAACACTGTGGGAAGCTTGACATTCAGTAAGACTGTATTACTGTCATTCTCTGATTGCCTCTCTGTGGAGTTAGAGCATTCAGGTATTAAAAATAAGGTCAGTTGCTAGCCTGAGTGGCCATTAACATGGTACTTGAAGACTCTGTGCCATTGTGAGAAGCAGAAGTGAATTTATGCACTTAAATTAATTTGAAGCTAAGATATCTTAAAAAATAAATAACCTTTTATTATTATTATTATTTTGTCCTGACTGAACATTACTATAAAATAAGAGCCATACTTTGGATTCTCCCTATAGGTAAAATTAATTGAAAACTATCCTCAAGCTTCCTTTGAAGAGAATAGATCATAACTTAGACCTTTTTATTTTCCTTTGCTTATCCTGGACTGTGCATACCAAAGATAACATACATCACAGATCAGCATGCCTGTTCCAGAATTATTTCCTCTGAGAAGATGGGAAGAGACTCACTGCTTTATTAAAAGACATAGTAGTTTTAAGGGTTTTCAGAATGAATCAAAGCCCTTCTGATGGAGGGTCTATGCCCTTCTGTGCTGCTCAGTTCTCTGCATCCACTGCTGTAGTCACTCTTCCTTAGTACAAAGTAAACAAGAGCCAAATGCCACAAAAGAAAGAAAAGTATATCTCTGGCAAAAGAGTTTTTCAGGAGAAACATTTTGAATCTAATGTATCTATTGGATTTACCAGATGACTTAAACGAAAATGTACTACTAACTAATTGCCTCATAGTTACACAAAATGAAGATGTGGTTCTGCAACCTGAAATTTTTGCTCAGTTTTTATTAATGCAAAAGAAAATTTTAAATGAGTGTATTGCTAGAGTCAAACTCGGGAAATGACACATTTCTTACTGATACCACTTTTGACACTCTCATCATCAAAATTAAAAAATTTCAAAGATGAAATTCCTTTCCTGGCTTGGCTTGGGATGCCTGAATTTTAAGAAACTTCAGTTCATTTTGATTCACATCCTTCAATTTTTATTAACTTGGTTTTAATAATTTGATTAATCTCATTTGCTTTTCAAAATACATATATATATGACACTTCATTTTTTTTTCTACATTTTTATTCATAGGTTTCCTTTTAGCTCTTCCATGTTTTGTATTTCTGTGTAGGCTTATTTTTTTGGTCATTGCCATTGTCCTTAAATTCCAGCTTTAAGTTGTGGCTGACAAAGTGCAAAGAAAAAGCGACAAATGTAGCAGCTATACAAATGAGGGAACATTCCCAAAGGCTAATAGAGAACTAGTAATCTTGGGTTTTTATGTTCTGCCTATGTTCACTGGAGAGAGGGATGGGATGGACTTCTCAAATGGGCAATTCTGAACACCTGAACAAAGCTTCAGCTTTGGAACTTTCTTTGAGCTTGTCTGCTTTTATTACCTGTGGTGGAAGACCAGCACTTCTAAGGTCAGCCCAGCTTTCCTGTTGGCAAGAGATTCATAGCTTTCGAACAAGAATCTCTCAGATACTTGTGCATCATGCAGTAATAGTGCCTCTAAATGCTGTAAAAGTAAATATGTGGACACTAAATGTATCCCTCTGAAAACACTGAATATATCCCTCTGAAAGTAAACGTACATTTTGTACTGAAGTACAAACCTGCATGTTTCCAAAAATGCGTAGATGGGTGTTTCTGATGACTGAACTTTCATAATGGAGTGTATGCCTGAGGTTTGATACTACGTTGATTATGTAATGGTAGCTATCTCTTAGGATTAGCTTCAGCAGGCAGCTCCTACACTAGTTTAAACCTTTCTTTATCTTGGACTAGCTCCATGTGAGAGTTTTGTTTATCCTTGTGCTTTCTTATATCCAACTGGGATTAAACCCCAAACTTTTTCTAGTAGTATATGATGGTTATTTTGGTAATTAATTTCAACTTCAAGTTGTGGACCATAATTTGCTATGAGTACACTACTCCACAGATAATCTTTTTCAGGAATAGAAAACACTTGGCTATTAACTTGAAGCTTTCCTGGCAGTAAGGAAATGTTTTCTATGTAAACCTCTGACATATTAGAATAGCTGAGGACCCCTTCCATGCTAAACATCCATTTAGCATGGAAAATTAGAAATGTAGATAAATGTAAAACATATAGATAAATGTAGGTAAATTGTAAATATAGCAATGGAAAGTGCATTTTACATGTTATGGTTTTAACTATGGTAGAAGTTTTATAGAATGCTGTCCTGAGTGGTAATTCAGACTTAGATAGCAGACTAGATTGCTTGCAGGCTACATATTGCAGTTCTTGTTTTGGAGGGGGCTAAAATTTAGCCCTTTGTCCCATCAAAGCAGACTGCTTTGCACAGCTGTTTGGAAATTATATAAGTAATGTTCAGTTATCGCTTAATGTTCATACACTTTACCATTGTACTGATGTGTGTCTGCAGCAGTCTAGACATCTTTCCCTTGTTTCTGAGTCCATGGTGGAAATCCTCCTCTGTTTTGTATTTTCACAGGAGATGGTGAGCTCTATACGTTTGGAGAACCTGAGAATGGAAAACTGGGATTAATGCCTGAACAGCTGAAGAACAATAGAGTCCCACAGCCTGTAATGGGAATTGTGGAAAAGGTTAATAAGGTTGCTTGTGGTGGAGAACATACTGTGGTGCTGACAGGTATGCAATTTAACTGTCTTTCTTTTTTACAGCCCTGTAACTTAATCAGTAAACTCAATTCACTTAAAAGAATTTAAATCCCACTGAAATGTAAGATGGTATAGTGATCCTAACTGGAAGACCACTGTACATCAAGGAGGTAGAAATCCACGTAACAATTAACCTAAGTGCATGCCTATGCTGTCCTCTACCTGTAGTTTGATGTTCAAGCCTGTGTTGCACATACCCCTTGGCTACAGGATGAACTTTGCCAGCTAATTGTAACAGAGGAGCTTACTCTGCCAAGCAGTAGAGTACCAAGTAGGTAGCAGCAAGGACTACTTGTGTGTCCTTGCCTTTATCTAAAATTTCAGGAGCAAGTTCCCATGTGAACCTCCTTTTTATTAACAGTATAAATGATGAGTACAGTTTTTTAGCTTGTAAGAAAATCCTGTAAGAGCTCAAATGACCAAAATGGGATAACCTTCCATGGATGGGATCTGTAGTTCTATCCTGAACTACAGTAGTATAGAAGCAGGAAAGGGAGGTTTGTCTTGGGCTTGTAATGAATTCCACAGCTGTATGATATGTCTGTAATTAATCTCCTACCAAAATGCAAAAACTATAAGAACAAGTAGAGGATGTATAGATACCAGTCCTCAAATCTGTATTTTGAAAATGCTAAATAGTCATATTTTGGCAATCTGGTGGTGTGCCTTCAAGGTTATGTAACCAATATTTCTAAAGTATAAACTGAAAATCCAGCTGAGGGAGATTGTAAGTAATATGATGTGGTATTGTACTGTAAGCCACTGGAGAGAGTAGAGGTGGAAGTGATGCGCTGGGAAAGTTTATGTGTAACAATAACTCAAGCTGCGAGACTCTCTGTAGGTTAAAATTCCTTTGGGAAAACTGTGAAGAGGAAATCACAATAGCCAATCCAGGAAATAATGCAAACATTTGTCTACATTTCAGGCATTGGTGTCTCTCTTCCACCAATATACAGTGTTACCATGGCAGTATTCTATGTCATAAAATTAATTTCTTTACATGAAATCACATTATCATTATTAGGAAAAAAATACCATAAATTTTGGGCCAGAAGATGTTTAAATCATAGTGTTATTTTGTGGTGAAATTCTGCAGATAGAATTTGATTATCATTATTGATTATTTTATTATCCATAAATCTGAAGCCAGCTAAGGGATGTTTTGTTTTAATGTTTTTTCTTGAGATATAATTTCATTATAACAAATGACTGTTACAGAGATTTAGTATGAAGATGTAGACCTGGATGACATCATCATTATAGTGAAACCTGTACAAGAGCTAAACCAAAAAGGCAAAATATAAATCTCAAGAAACAAACACAGTGAAGAAAGAAACATACTAAGTCAGTGTCTTAGTATGCAAGGTTTACTTGTCTGTGGAAGTAGATTTTGTAGTAGAAGACGAATAAGAAATCCAGTGCTGGCTTAGGTGGTAGTTGATGATCTAAGTGTTGAGTGCCAGAAGATCCAGTTGAATCAAGAGAAGAGGAAAACAATATCCTTCAACAACATACATTTTCCTAATGATTAAAAGTTGTTGTGATAAAAGGGCAGATAAATGTGGGGTTTAGTGTGATTCAGCTATTATTAAATAGGCTACAGCTGTGAACTTCTGCCTAAGACACTTCAAAGAGAAATTGGAAATACTGCCTTGAGTAAAAGATACTTCATCAGGAATGTTGACATACAGAAAATTTTCTGACTCAAATATTTGGGAAAAAATTGGGAAAAGGTATAAATTTGGACACTGTAATAATTGAAAAAGTGAGTGAACATGTATTATAGGCTTTGCACCACAAACTTAACTTTAAATCAGTACTGAAGTGTATATTGCATCTTGAGATGAAGTGATGTGACCACAAATTGAGAATTCTGATGGGGGATATATCTTTAAAGAGGAGCAGAAACATTTATACCTCTTTTAAGCTCATTTTCCTAAATTAAGAAAGTAGTGCAATTTTGAAGAAATTCTCAATTTTGTATATCATCTTCCCTGAAAATGGGTGCCATTTGGCTTTAGGAACATGCATATATACAGACACGGTTTTATTTTTTTCAGGACATGTCATTTTAATCTTAAAAAATTAGAAATGAGTGTCTGACTGCTGTATATTCCTCTGTTTTATCTATCTCATTTAACATAGGAATAGATTAGGAGAAAATGTCATATGGAGAAACTGTTGCACATCTTGGCTTATTTCTTGTCATCAGTTCTACTTAGGGTTTATCAAATTAGAAGAAAGCATAATCCAGTTATTTTACTGATTATGAGGCAAGTTTCTTCCTCTCTCTCATATATAATTAGTCTATTCCAAAGCACTTCATTTGACTTCTTTTTCATGACTGTCTTATCTATTCTATTGGCAATTTTGTATGGTCAGAACCACTGTTATTTGGGTTATTAAATCAAGCTACTCTTTGGAATCTCTTCAGCAAGTATCAGAGTAAATGGTAGAAAGTACATATTAAAATAATCTTTTTTTTTTTTCCTTTGAGACTCCAAAATGGGAAACTCAATCTTTTTTTTCCAGAGAGATCAAAAAGTTAAACTGTTGAGAGTAAAGATTCAGAAAAAAACTTTTTTACAAATGATACAAAAGATTTTAGAAGTTTTAAAAGATACAAGGTTTTAGAAATGTCAAATATGGTATTGGAAACAAGTCTTACTTTTTCTTCTTCCTTTAATATTTGCATTTTTTTCTAGAGAATAAACAGAATTACAGGTAAAAATTCTATTGTGCGAAAGCTTTCTCTCACTGTAACAACACAAACCTCTTCATATCATGACAGTCTATCAGCCAGTTCAAGATCATATCCTCATCCCAGGTGACTTCTCTCAGAGACTGAAAAAGATAATTTGTGAATCTAGAAATTGGAGAAGCAGCAGCAGATGATTGGGAGTGAGCTTAATATCTTCCAGGGTTTTTTTCAGATGATGACAGATCCTCTGGGCATAATCCTGTCTATAAAAGGATATATTATGTCCTTTTATTCTTTGAAAGGAGGGAAAGCAAAGGTATCTGTTCAAAGGAAAAAGTGGAGCAGTCCTTCAAGAATAGGTCGTTTGACATAACAGTGCAGCACATTTGTGCATTAGTATGTAAAATGTTGGATTTTTCATCTTCTTTCTCAATGTCTTTTAAAAAGAAAAGTGAAGATGCCCTTTTGAAAGAGGATGAAAAGGATGAAAAAGCTCTACCTTTTCATGACAGAACTGACTGTTCAAGCCATATAGGATTATCTAGATTTTTTCAAACCATTCTTAAATCTGTATACTATTTATATTGAAATCTCCAAATCCAATTACTAGCTCAGGTAAAACAGAGTATTGTGTTGACAGCTGATTTTTACAGTAACATTTTTCAGCTGTTTAAAAATAGAACTATTGTAAGAGTGAATAATCCATTGACAGAATAGTAGTAGTAATAATAACAACAATAATAATAATCTTCAAGGGAAATTAACCTATTTGGAGAGATAAAAGCATACCTGTCTGTTCCTGTTTAGTTACATAGCAAGGAACCCATGAAGCTTAAAAATACTCTTGGAGCTCACTCAGTTCTTTCAGCCAATAGCATGTGTTGAAAAACCCCTGAAAGCTATGTAGATTTTTGCCTAGAAGTATTTTATTGATAGTGACAGCAGTCATGCAGATTGAAAAACTGTTAAGTCCTCCAGAAGATACCTGCAAAGGTGGAAGATGTATCCCTGTTCTTCCAAAAAAGAAAATGTAGGAAGTAAAGGAGAAGCAGTCCCAGCATTTAAGTGCTGGAAGTCACTTGGAACTATGAAGCAATTGGCTTTTGTACAAGTTCTGAAGCATTTATGTTTGTCCTTCAAGGGTCCTTCTCACGGGATGCTGCTGTGTAGGAGGCAGCAGTTCCTGCCTGGTGGCCAAGACAGGACTTCTGCTGTTTCTTCTGGGTGCTATTAATACAGCTGAGCCTTCCTTGTGATGCACTGGAGGCAGCGCTGCTTCCCTGTGCTGATGTGGCCAGCTGTCTTTCATCTCCCCTTGTACCACTCTGGTGCTGCCTTCTTGACCATAGGGAACTATTCCATAGGGAACTATAGAATGGTCAAGGTGGCAAACCTTCCCCAAGCCTGGCTTGCTGAGCTGAGCTGGCTCACCACAGAACAAGTGGACAGCAGAGGCAGTACCAGAGGAGACTGAAGAGAGAGAATGGGGGAATGGGATCTGCCCTTTTGCTAGTAGTACTTTTCATTTGTTGCATCCAACCATACCCTCATGGGGCCTGAGGACAGTAAGAAGAAGGTGACAGTGGGGCTATATCCCTGTTTGGATTCGTGGTGTAGGCAAATTCAGTTAGAAATTCAAGTGCAGAATGATGAAATTCACCTCCGCCGTTTTATCACCTAGTCTGTAAGACTGCTTTGTCATTGACTTCTCTTTTTATGCATTTATAAAGTCAGATTGCAAGAAATACGTCATTTGTGCTAAATGAGATTATTATTGAAGTTTGGCCTCACTTCTTCACCAGAGAGGTGAATCATTTAAGAAAGGTGCAAAGTTTTTGTCTTCTTGTGCCTTGATAACTAATTAATAAGCAAATTCATGAGGAACAAAATTTAGGTGCCCCTGGTCTGTGGGGGCAGTAAAAGAAATTGTTCTCTAACCTGGTATTGGGTTGGCCCGTTCTCATTGTCAGTACAAACAGAGGAAAGAGTAGTTTCCTGTACTTTTCAAGTTAGTATTTGAGAACAGCTCACTCTAAACACAAATGCAGAAGGCATCGCATGTTTCAAGCTAGGATTAAAGATAATGTGGGGAAAAAAAACCAGCTTCACTCAAAATAATTATGTTAATCAGATAAAGCCATATAATGAGAAAATGGCCAATTTCCAAAGAAATCTTAAGACAAACACAGTACTTCTAAACAGAATTTAAGTAATCAGCCATCCTGAGAAAGTAATTGACTAAAATGAATATGAGACTTCAGTTTGCTTAAGAAAAGCTCCTGTTTTTCATGTGTAGTTTCTTGATTCTTATGCAATAGTCTAAATGTTACATAAAATTTCATCTTGTTTTACTAAGATCCTGTGAAGGTGTTGCTTTCTTGCGCTGAAAGCACTGAAATTTCCAGCAGAGGGAGCTTTACTATTACATTTAGTGAAAAAAAAAAGAAAAAATCATCTGCAGTCACTTTTGTGTTAGACCATTGGGGTTTTTTTTTATGGTGTGAATTCATGACATGTTAATGTGGAACAACTTAAAGGGGGCAGAAAAGGCAAGCCCTTTCCTAGAAAGAATATTTCCATATCTAGTGTTACAATATTTCATCATGGCTCCTTTGAAATTGGAAAGTTCAGTAAGTGTACTATGGTATATGGAATCTGGTCCATTCTCTGCTTTCTCTTTCCAAAGGGTTAGTTTGAGGGAATGGTAACGTAATTTGGTTTTAATTTTTCTCCAGTCTGTGGCTGCTCTGAGAATTTGGTCACACAGTATAAACTACTTTTGTGGTACTGAAACTTACTTTGCTGTTCCAGTGGCCTTGTTTCCTTGCCATAAAGAAGTTTTAAAAAAGCAGACTCTCTGCCAATTGTTGTTCCACACATTCTGCTGTGGATGGCCATGCCTCTCTTGTTTTTGTGCATGGTGAGATTTTTGACCCGATGGCACCTGGGCAGCAAGAGCAGGCATGCTCTGCACCTTGTTCATAACAATGACGTAACGATACATTGCTCCCAAGTCTCAGTTCTTTTTGTTTGATGTAGAATATGTTTTGTTCTTCCTAATTTTTCCCAGATTTTAGTAATAATTTTTCAAGTGCCTTAAGTAGTACTTCTCTAGCTTTTCCTATTGCCTACATGCAGAAGAAAAGGGGGCAGGGAGTACAGTTCTAGGAAAAACTTCTCCTTTTCCGAAAAAATCTTAGTGTCTGAATTTCTCTTTTCAAGCATGACCACATCAAGATTTCCAGGCTTCACAGTCTCCCCTGTTGTGATGCACTGCCAGGGATGGACACAGCAAGCATCTTTACTGCTTTGGAGAAGTTCTTTTCATTTTTTTTCCTGGCACAAACAGTCCATTAAACAGACAAAATATGGAAAGGTGGTTGTTCTGTCACAAGATAACACAACTATAGTGTTCTCTGTATTTAATGCAGGGCTGATTTGGTATCTGACCAGAACACTGAAACTTACTCTGTTATTGTTCCAGTCAATCCATATACACAGTTTAATATTGGTGTAAAGAGGTCTAGCGTATTAAATTTAGGGTCATACAGCGTATGTGTAGGTAACCAGAAATTAGGATGAGATTACTGTGCTTGAAAGTGCACATATATATGAACACTGTGGTCTTGAATTAATTGCACTATGTAGGCTCCCATAAGTTTTTTTATTAGCTGATATTTTCTGTACGTGTGATCAGTGGATTATTTTGCAGTTATGTTAGAAAATGTATTGCGTATTGAGCCATTCAAGATTCTTTTGTGTATATCTTTTAGTACTTAATTTCCTGGGTTTTATTTTGTTGTATTTTGTTGTTAATTGATAAATGTATTTGACTAGTTGGTACATTTTTTTAATTGCTAAAACATTGCTTTTTTGATGCTAATGTCATTTGACTTCCATTTGGCTAATAGAAAGCAGGTTATAATATATATATATCAGCATATTTATTGTTAACTTTGTCTGTATATTTTCAGAGACAAGTGTCTATACTTTTGGACTTGGACAACATGGGCAGCTGGGACATGGTACTTTTATTTTTGAAACTTCAGTACCAAAGTCTGTGAAACACTTGAGGAGGTATAAAATATGTAACATTACATGTGGGGAAAATCATACTGCTGTAATAGCAGGTATGTAAATGAAAAAATCTGAAATGCTCTTCCAGTGACTCTCATACTGTAAAAGCTTTATTTATAACATGAGCAGTAGAAAAAGACATATACAAACTTAATAGCTCTAAAGGTCAAGGGAACAGGTGAGAAAGCCAGATCCACAGCCATGCCATGCATAACTCTGTGTACAATATCTTCTGGGGAATTATAACCTCATTATGATGCCTTGCTAACAAATGTTTGGGTTTTTTTTCCTAATAGTATCTGTACAGTTTCAGTCCTATTATTTTGTTGTTGGATTTTTTTACAAATGATCTAGACTAGCTCTCATTTCAGACAGTACTTTACCTGAAAATATACGTATTTTTTGATCTGATTTCAACAGATATTCATCTGTTGAAAATCTAAAAATAATTGTTCAGTGTTTGCTTTTGGAAGAAAAACATTCCTCACTTTCATGGCCTGTTATTTTGTTCGTGCTGCTTTTGTCATGATTTTATTTTGAATATTTGTTACTGATAAGACACCTCTTTCCTCCCCGCCCCCCATACAGAGAATGGCCTCATGTTTACTTTTGGAGATGGGCGACACGGCAAGTTAGGCCTTGGAGAAGAGAATTTTACAAATCAGTTCGATCCTACTCTGTGTTACAATTTCTTGAGGTTCACAGTCCTTTTGGTAAGACTCCTGTTCATGCTTCTCAGACATAAAAACATTTATCTTTTTATGAAAAGTTATTAATGACAGTTGAAATCTCATTATAGAATTATTTCTTTCCATAACGTTTAATTAGTAGACAACACAAATTTAAATAAAAAGGAAATCATATTTATTTACCACACTCTTAATTTAGTTTAGAATGTATTTGGCTTGGACTATGCATCTAGACTGCTTTTCAGGGGTTTATTCAGTAGTATTCTAGCCTAAAGAGCTGTGTCAGCCTATAAAATCAAATATTTGTTGCTCTGGGATTGTTGGCAGTAGATGAAAACCAGGGTGTCAGCTTTTTAATTTTAATGATGATTTGTACAGTGGGATATTTTTAAACCTTAAGAAATTTGGAGGATTTGCTTTTTTGAATCCAAACAGGATGAGAAAGCAGATATACTCTTTTCTTTTAAGGCATTATTTTCATCCATTTCTTGAGGTGTTTTAAGAAATAAGCATCACAGAATTGCCAGCATCAGAAATACAAACATGACTCAGAATAGAGCAAAATTTGGGACAAAATTCTGTTGATCTCTTCTGTTTGTTTACTGGACTTGCTTAGAGTTTAAGGACATTTTATCAGAAGCGGTGAGAGTTTTAAACTTTTTAAAAGTGAAACCTCTGATCTTTATGTAATAATACTTTGTCTGTTGGAGGGTGTAGGACTTGCTTTACATTTTGTGGATTTTGTGATAAAATACCTAGGTTTGTATCACTGAAGCTATCAGTATTGCCCACATTTGATTTGCATAAAAATAATTAGCACAAATCCCTTGAAAATCAGTTGAAAAATCTTTGCTTTCTTCTCTGTCAGTTTTTGATAGACCTATCTTGTATTCTGTTCGATACAAATATATTGTATTTTAGTAAGAAGTGAACATAGATCCCTAGTCATTAATAAACATAATTAAGTACTTTTATCTTGCTAACATCATTTGGAGCTAAATTTGAAGCTATTTATATGTCTCTTACTTTTACTATGTTTTTGTTACAATCTAAACCCCTAGAGATGATTGTAAGAAAATGAGGTTCCTATACTGACACTTGCTAATGAAGTAATCTGATAATATTTTTGGTGCTGTAGGTTGCTTGTGGTGGTTGTCATATGCTAGTTTTTGCTGCTCCAAGACCTAAAGGATTTGAAGAACTGCTCTTAGAAGATTTACATGAAAGCTATTTGACTGCTACAATCTCTCAAATAAGTGGAGACTTACTACTAACAAACACGTTACAGCTAACATCAGCACGAATGCGACGTCGAGAGAGGGTAAATTTGGAGCTGTTTAGAGTTGCCATAGTTCTTTTAGGAAACAAAATCACTTTTGAAGTCACAATGTATATACAGCAGATAAATGTATGTCCTTAAATTATGTGTTTAATTTTAATGTATAAAAAGAAGAATGAATACTTATTCTGGTCTCAAAATTGAATGCAGGTAGAAGATAGATACTGGTCAGATTTTACTTGTTTATTTCTATGAAAAAGACTTAAATTGATTAAACAAGTTCATACTCTTTAAAATATCAAAGGAGAAAGTTTCACAATCAGCTTAAAATGATCCTAAGACCCCGTAGTTGCTTCTCCTTTCTCTCCACTGCACATTCCATATGATTTCATTGAACAGCATGAGTTGGATCATTTCACTTACCCATCTGAAACTACCACAAAGACACATTTATTTTGTAAAACTATATTGATGTTGTGCGCTAAATACCTCAACATTATTTGAGATGCTAGTATTTTAAGTAAAAATCAAAGTTCTTTTTCTCTTTCATCTGTATTTTAGACTGCTTGAGGTTATTGTGTAGAAACTATATAAAATATCCCCCCCACAATATACCTATTATGCTCCCTCCTGCTTCTTGTGCCCCTCCTCACTGGCAGAGCATGAGAAAATGAAAAGTCCTTACCCTGATCAGGGTAAGCACTAGTTAGCAACAACTAAAACATCATGCGTTATCAGCATTGTTCTCAGACTAAAGCCAAAACACAGCATTGCACCAGCTACCAGGGAGAAAATTAACTCTATCCCAGCTGAAACCTGGGCAATACTTCTCCACTTTTTAGGACTGCAAATAATTTAAATATTAAAGAAATTTGGTTTATGTTTCCCATACAAAGTTGCAACACTGTATCATCAACTAAAAGAAAATACTGAAAGGTTGCTTACATTTTATTTTTCTGCTTTTATTCTCAATGTATATTTTTTTTAATCTTCTACAGGAAAAGTCACCAGAACAGTTTAGTCGAATGGCACAAACTCTGCCTCCACTGGGAGAAAGCTTCTTAAAATCTTCACTACCTGTGACTAGCAAGACTAGTCCATTCTGGTTTTCTGCAACAAATCTTCCTAAAGCTGAACCTGTGAAGCACAGACGCCATAAAAAAGGTGAAGTGTCCCCATATCTTGCAGCTGTTTTCTGATAATTACGTGGTTTGGCTCTCATCATTCATAAACAAATGCTCAGTTTTAACCTGAAAGAAGGTTTAAATTCAATCTTGCCTCAATAGGGTGCAGCAGCATACAGACATGAAAGTTGAGAAATGCATGCAAGCGTTGCCTCACGCTGTTCATGTTTGGAAAATGTGCTTAAAGATTTAGAGGAGGGCTGAGTGAAAGAGAAACAACTTCTAAATTGTACCTGTGGTTTCTCCTGAAGAAATAGAACTTTACAAAACCACTGTAAGATTAGTAGCCTCTTTCTCCATTTTCACAAAAAAGAAACAGAACTACAGAAGAAAAAATTGATTAGGAACAATCTTAAAAACACAGAAGGGCCTACAAGAGACCTTGGGTAAGAAAAAGGTCTACTAATTCATACAACATCTTTTGTCATCACTTGGAAGTGAAGAAGTGCAAAAGTATTCTTCACTCTCTGTTATCTAAGATAATAATGATTTGCAATATTCTGGCTAATGCAAAAACCTGCATAACAATGATACTGATACAGAGCTGGACTTCTGCACAATTCTCTAGAGCAGTTCTGGACTTTACCTGGATTCTTCAGCATGTGTGATTTCCTGGGAAGAGCAATGCTAAAGAATGCAGAATGCAGTGCTTCTTGTGTAAAGGTTCGCTCAGATTTATTGGACAGTCAAATCCAATTTGAAAATAATTAATTCAGTTAGAATTAAGATTATTATTTGTAAAGCTGCCAGCATGTCCATTAGCATTTCTGGTTCCAAGAAAGCAATGCAGTGAAATTTAAATTGCCCTTAGAGTCTTCTGAAGCCTAGAACCTCAGGTTTTGTGCCATATGAAATTGGTCATATACCTGATGAACTTAAGGTGAACCCAAAAATTATGTAGGTACATTTTTGTGATGCAGCATTGGATTTAAACTCACTGTCATGCAGCATTGGATTTAAACTCACTGTCTCTCCATCCATTACACAGATAATGTTTAATGTAGACAATATGACTGCAGCTAATTTAGTCTAGGTGGTACACTATTATTAAAGAGATTATCCAAAAGAAGCTTTGTCCCATGTAATATTTATGTTTTAAAAGCCTGCAAAAATGGTCAGAGATCTATAGTGCACTGAAGCCCCATTGCTGAGCTACCTTTAATGTTAATACTGATGAAAAGGAAGTGGAAGTGCTTCTGTGATGTTTTAGGCTGCAGGAATCAGGAATCTCAGGACTTCAGTCCTACATCAGTAAAATAGAGATAATCTATTTTACTCTATTTTACAAGAGTGGGGTGTTCTGCTGGTTACATATTGCTTGTTCTTATATTTGTTTACTTCCCCTTATTTTACCTTGAAGTAAAGAAAAAGAATCATCAGAAGGATAAACCTTGTGAACGCTCAGCAGATGAAGATTCAGATAATGAAAATATTGACAGAAACCTTGGTGATACAACTGACATCCTAAATATGGTAATATATTCCACTAATGAATTTGTGATTCAATAATTTTTATGCAGAGAAAGAACAAAGCAGCTAAATTATGTTTCAAGTTCTAGTGCAGAACTCCTGGCTAGCCCAGAACATCATATGTGACACCAAGAAGTACTGACATACTTTTAAATGAGCATGCATTTAATATCATCATTATTCAATGCTAAAGTTTGATTTTATTTTCCAACTAATGTTGTAATAAGAGATGGTGTAATAAGAGATTGAAGCAGTCACAGGTAGTGCAGCCCCTCCGTCCACTTTACCTCAGAAAGAAAAGGAGAATGACACTGGATACCACTTGGTGATCTCTCTCTCTGTCCTTCCTTATCTTGAGGATTTCCAAGAGAGAATTGCAGGAAATTAAGCAGAAATCTGTCCTTTCCTGTTTCAAGAAGAGCTTTTTTAGTACAGGTGGATCATATTAAAGGGAAAACCAAAATGCAGACATTTTGGTTATTTTGTGATTCCCAAGCATGTTCCTACATATTTCTTTTATTTAAAAAATATGTTCATCTCATCAGTTGTGCACCTCTCCAAAACATTTTGTTCTCTTGGCAGATAGGGCATGTCCTGGTCTGAATGCAGTGCACTGGGAAGATGTTGTGTTTTGTCATATTTTATTTTTATTTTTTTTTCCTAATATCAATGGAATGGAAATGAATGAGGAACCCACTGTGGTCTCTGCTCAGAATATGTTGTCATATTCTGGAAGGATTGCACATTTTACAGAAATTATTACTTGTTTGTACTTAACAGTACTTAGTAATTTAACAGTCAGTGCATACTATTTAAGTTATAAAACTTTATTTTCATTTTCAAGAAAAAATTTGGTTTTGGATATAATGCACAATTTACTGAGGCATTTATTTATAATTTATTGCTCACCTTATGTGTTAGACTTTTTTCTCCTTTTTTGGTTTTGTATGCATTGAAAATCAATTTTAAAACATTAACCGGAATGAAAGAGTAAATTTTAAAAAAGCCAGGCAAACTTGTCAAAATACAAAATAAAAGAATTGCTCTTCTCCAATCTGAATGAAATAATCTGTTACAGTGTAGTTGTTTCATTTTTTCTAAACTGTGGCAACATGCATCTTATTGACGTGACAAGAGAATGAAAACTCTTTAATATCATATTGATGACACACATTCTTGGCAGTCAAAACCTGAACTGTCTATCTTCACTGTGGTTAAAAAGAATATGGTTGTTAAACCATAAGCAGTTAACAAACAGCAGCAGAGAACATTGCCTTGTCATTTGGAGTATATGGGAAGGGATGACCACAATCTCGCTGTACTTGCCCATCTAGTAGTATTCTACATTGCTTTGCCTTTTGGTTTTTTGCTTTATGTAGAAGAAATAAAGGCAGTAGATGCCAAGGAAAATTTATGCTATGTAATGTTTCTTTAAAAATGTTCTTTCAAGGCTATGGTATCAAACTGGGTGTTAAGTTGAAGGTTGTGATAATGAGGGAGTAAGGCATTATATTTTTAGCCACAATTAATGGTGAGTAGAAGGTGAATCTAAAATGCGCTTGTGAGCTATAAAAGAGGTAGATTTTAGTCTCTACAGACAGTTTACATGTTGACGTCTAAGCTGGTTAGCCCTCTCTTTATAAGCAGTAAGTGAGGGAGTGGAAGTGAAATAGTTATGTGATCATACAGATTTGTCTCAAGCTCTGTTTAGTAGAACTGGGCTTTGATGCTGCTTTCCCTGTTAGTCATATTTTTTTTTTTAATAGAGATCTTACTTTTTGCAGACACATGCAATGAAATTGAATCCCAGTGACCAGTCCTTGAAATTATCACCACTCCAAAAACAAAAGGTACTGTAACTAATTACATATATTCGTATACTTATACCAATGTATAAAAGATCTGTAATTCTTGTATTATCCTTGTACTTTGTTGATTTGCTTTGAGTTTTAAAAAAGCTGGGCAAATTTTATAGGCCTCCTCTTGCTAATTTTCTGAATATCCACAAGGTAAAATTCTAAGAAGCAGACTGAAGTCAGAGAGAATTTGTGCAAGCACATAAAAGTATTCAGCATAGTCTGAGAGTATATAATACTTCATCAGTTAAGGAACAAAAAATCTATCATATAGACTTTCTAACTTAAGCTGATTACATACATATCTATGGTTTTGTTGATGTTAAAATATTTTGACTTCTGAGACACAATGTAAGAAAAGATTTTATTTACAGATATTCACCATGGAATATATTTAAAGGAACAGCAATACTGGTTTTAATTATGAAATTAAAGTGCTTTTTGTATTACCTTTCTATTTCACTCCTAAAGTGATCACAGCATTTTGGCATTTTTGTGCATTTCATTCTAATTTTATATTTTTAAAATTATTCTGCAGAATTTGTAAATAAGTGTAAAATTTAAAGTAGAAAGACAGCAGATTTTCAAATTTATTAGAGCATAAAAGTGAGTGCATGAAAAGATTTCCCAAGGGGAATGGTGGAGGAAGGTGTAAGGGAACTGCAGTTTTTTCCTTCTCTTCACACAACTTCATGCATTGCATGTGCTTTAGCTTACGGGACATGATACTGGCTGCACAGTTCTTACTGCATTCACTTTGAGAACTTGGATAATGAAAAAGGTGTAGCAGTACATTTACCATCAAGAGAATGTTACATTCTTCTAGTATGTGCACTTGTAAATTAATTTCTTGCGAAATACTGTACCTTCTCAACTATCTTTTAGTTTGCTCATGCAAATTTTCATCTCTTGTTCAGATGTTTTTGTAACCTTTTTCTTTTGCTGTCATTTGTCTTTAATGCTTTCCTTCTTTCTTTTTAATTTTCTGCTTCTCGTGTGGAATAGAAGAACAATAAAAATGTGAAACTGAAAAGAGATGGTAAGGGTGGGCTGAAAACCAAAGATTCTGATTTAATGAAGGAGGGATCAAAATTAGACTCTGGCTCTTTACAAAATCAGTCTTCACTTTCAGAGTTACCAAGACAAGACTTAGAAAAAAGTAGTGCCTTTGTGGGGAAGCCCATGGCCAAAAAAAACACAGTGGAAGGTAAATCTGAGAATGCACAAACTGTTGGTACTTTGAAAAGTTGTGTTCAACAAATCACTGGGGACAAATGCAGATTAGTGGGAAAAAAAAAAGCATGTGCAGAAAATCCTGAATTTGTCAGAGAGGATCTTCCCAGTGAAAAGCAAATTCTGACTGAAAGAATGAATTCTTCCAGTAACAAGTCGAAAGCTGTTAAATCTAAGCAATCCCTAAAAATCAATGTACTTCCTCCTGCATCCAGGGATCAGCCCCAGACCGATTCATTAATTACACAAAAATATTGTCCTGTTAAAAAGCAAGCAAGTCAAGAAGCAATAGAAAGTCAAAACAAAATAAAGGATATTGTTGAAAAATCTGATAAATGTGAAAGAATTTGCATCAGAGGAGAAGAAAATAGTGAAGAGCAAAGAGGGTTTAAAAAGAACGATCATTTTTTTAAACAAATATCTCTGTCATCATCTTCAACTGAGGAAAATAGTAATGATATTGCGAAATATGTACTTAAAAGTAGGGAAAAAGATGAGGAATACTATGAAGGCAGAAAGGTCCAGAAGGCAGTTAAAACAGTAGAAGCAGTGAAAGATTCGGACTTAGAAAAAGAAGACAGTGAGATTGAGGAGATGCAAGCTGCAAACAGTGAGAAAGAATATGTAGAAGAGACTGATATAAAAAGCTTGAATGCGGAAGAAACAAACTCTGAAGTTGAATCTGATGAAGACAGACAGTTAGAAGTTAAGAATGAGGAGGAATCTAATCAAGAGCAGGAGAATGAAGGCAGTGAAAAGGGTGAAAGTGAAAAAGAAAAACCAGATGAAACAATTGGGAGCGAAAATGAACAAGGGGAGGAAGAAGAAGAGAGTGAGGTTAAAAAAGATAGAGATGAAGTTTCAGTAGAAGGAGTTGAAGAGGAAAAACATAATGGAGAAGAAAATGAAAGAGAGGAATCACAGGCTGAAAAAGACAGTGAGAACGAGGGTGCAGAAGAGATGGAACAGATTAATCAGGAAGGTTGCAAAGAACAAGGAGGTGAGGAAGGCAGGTTGATAGAGGAAGAAATGCTGAGGGAGAGAGAAAAGGAGGATATGGAAGAGGAGTATGCTAAAGAGGAAGACACTGAAGAAGAAAAGGAAGAACAGGTTAAAAGTGAGGGAAGAGATGAGAGTGAGGAAGGAGATGAAGGGAGAGAGGCAGGGGAAGAAGAAGAGGTAGAGGCAGAACAGGAAGGAGAAGATGAAGAGGAAAATGAAGATGAAAACAAAGAAAGTGAGAATGAAAAAGACAAAGAAGGTGAAGAGGAGGAATTAAAAGAATCACTGGCAGGGAGGGAAGAAGAAGTATCTGAAGAACAGGAAGAGGAAGGTGCAAATAGGAGGACCAAGGAAGTAGGGGAGGATAAAGTGGAAGACAAAATAGGAGATGAGGAAGAGGAAGGAGCAGAGGCAGAAGCAGAAGGGGAGGATAGAGAAAAAGATGAAAATGAGTGGGAAAATGAAGAAGAAAAAGGGGAAGAAGAAGATGAGGAAGCAGAAGGGGAGGAAGATGAGGGAGAAGGGGGAGATGAAGAAGATGAGGGAGAAGGGGGAGTTGAAGAAGATGAGGGAGAAGGGGGCATAGAAGAAGAGGGAGAAGAGGGGATGGAGGGAGAAGAAGGAGTGGAAGAAGAAGAAGGAGTGGAAGAAGAAGAGGGAGAAGAGGGGGTGGAAGAAAAGGGAGTAGAAGAAGAGGAGGGAGAAGAGGGAGTGGAAGAAGAAGAGGAAGAAGAGGGAGAAGAGGGAGTGGAAGAAGAGGGAGAAGAGGGAGTGGAAGAGGGAGAAGTGGAAAAAGAGGAAGAGGAAGAAGAAGGGGAAGAGGGAGAAGAAAAAGGGGAAGAGGGAGAGGAGGAACAAGAAGAAGAGGAAGGGGATGTGGGAGAGGAGGAGGAGGAAGAGGAGGATGTGGGAGAGGAGGAAGAGGAGGATGAGGGAGAAGAGGAAGGAGGGGAAGAGGAGGAAGAAGGAGAGGAAGAGGAGGGAAAGGAAGAGGAGGAAGAAGGAGAAGAAGAGGAAAAGGCAAAAGGTAAAAGAATAAATGGTAGTAATAATCTTCCACAAAAGAAAAGCAAAACCAGAAAGCCAGAGAAGACAGAAAGTACTGCTTTACTAAACAGCTCTAAACAAAAAATGAAGTCCAAACAGCATGTAGCCAATGGTTTACATAATTCAGAACAATTTTGGAACAACATACTACCTCATTATTTAACACTAAAGTAGCATAGACTACTGGAGATGCATTTTAAGCCTATTCAGGAAACTTTGGAACTATAGCAGATTGATTTTTATTACTAAAAAAAAAAAAATGTAGTCAAAATATATTATTATGCATCTACTTTAAGTGCCAATTTCTTGCAGAAAGACTGACAATCTTTAACACATGATTTAAAAAAACAATTGCTGAGGAGGCAAAATTTGTTTGCCTCATAAATCATAATGTTATACTGGTAACATGAATATACAGTGACATTGGAACATTCAATTGCCTTTGAATCAGATTTCTTAAGGTAATATATCAGTTTTAGTTGCAGAATAGCTTACTTGTTAATGTGCCTTTCATAAAACGAGTGTCAGTAAATTATTAAAGATGCATTTTTTTAAATTTTGGTATCATTCCATATTCTTTCCCCCTACTCTTTTTCTGCTCATATAAATGTTTGAGTACTCAGCATAAATTAAAGAAAGGATGAGTTGCCAAATTTACATGGCTCAAGAGATGGGAGGTAAATGGAAATGCAGGCCTGGGTAAACGGTGGCCTGGGCTTTTTCAAAGGCCTTAAGGTTGACTTCTTATTTTGGTGTCAGCACACAATTATGTGCAAAAAGACAAAGCCAAGTCCCAGAATCTGGCCTAGATTACATTACAGTCAGAATGCATCTTTTTAGGGATAATTTTTGATTTATCACATTTGGTGATTAGATATAATTAAGAATTTGAAAATACACACCTGTAAACTACTATTTACTTGTTTACATTATGCAATACACAAAAGATTCTATATCTGCCTACAAAAGACTACATTACGTTAGTTATCTGACTCTAAGGTTCTCAAGGATGGGACTGTGTTTTGTAGCTGTGTGAACTGTTTTCAGGACCACAGCCTAAGCTTCTCCTCATTGGAGAATATTTGTGTTTTTGCCTCCTAAAAATCACATCTGGGATCTCCAAAAAGAGGAAAATGTAATAAACTGAGAAGCCACATGGAATAGTAAAGTGGTGTGATAGTCTGAATTCTTTTTGGAAAAGAGAAAGTATGTTAATACTTCTGGAGTTTCCTTAAAATACACAAACCAATCTTGAAAATTATTTTTGTAAGATACTGCATTACTGTTTCAACTGTTAGTGGTTAAACGGGCTAAAGAAGGGCTAGGGACTCATCATACAGTATTATTACTTAAATACTATGGTAATGGGTGGTCTGAGAAATTTTTGTAAACAGATCTCAGTATTGACATTCTCTAGAAAAATAGTTATTTGAGTCCTATTTGAAAATGAGGACAGGAGAAGAAAAGAATCAAAACGAGCAAATGTCATTCAGTAAAAATGTTAATGGAATTAATACCTATGTTGAGATTATTTTTAATGTGGTTTTGTAAGACACTGGCATTAAACTATCTTTGACACAATGTCTCCAGAATTTATTTTCTAAAAAGGCTGTAGTAGATTGATAGCTTGCCAGCAGTTTCTAGTCCAGGTCGATCCTTCCTACCTCAGTCACCCCTTCCATATACTGCTTTTGAAGGTAAGATCACTTTCAGATACATGGTGTGCCTAACAGAAAGTTAGTATCTTGTCCCTGTGAAATTTGTTTCAAGCTTTGGGATCTTTAGGAATACATTATCTTGACATCAGCATGTGTAAGTCTTTGGAAAAGGGTAAGTATCCTCATATTCTGATAGAATGGAATATTTTAACAGTTAAATGCAGTGCCCAAGAAAACAGTGCTCTCTTATGACAGAGTCCTCAGTTATTTTGCAGAAGTGCTGAGTTATCACTGAACTGCTGTGAAAATATTTGCTTTTAAAACTAAGTGGAGCTAAACTGTGTTATTTTATCTTTCTTGGGAAAGATTAGGATGTTACTGTGATAAAACTTAGAGTAATATTGAAAAGTATTTTTATAGGCCTAAAACCATGTTTCTTGGATATGACATCTACTTATTTGTGTTTCTAAAATTCAGCTCTGTAAGAAAACTGTGCTGTGAAAAAAAAAACCCACAAAATCCGTTATTTCTTGTGAAAAATACTTTCTGAGGGGTAGGGGGAAAAAGTGAGAGCACTTTGAAGCAAGTTATTTCCAAATCCACATAGGAATAGCTCTTCGTTTACTGTCTGGCTGTAGCTTTAAATCCTTAGGCAAATGGGGGCCATTTGTTGTTCTTCTTCTGACATGCACTGATGACATAAAGCCTCCAGGAGAGTAAAGGAAGCCAAATTGCAGGCATCTTCTTTGTTTTGTCTGGATGAAAATTAATTGAATTGAGAACTGCTTTTATATTGTTTTGTGGATCATTCCTGTGGTAGGGGAAAAGCAGAGCATTACTCCAGCACTTTTAAGGGTTTTCCACGGAATTGTTACATAAAGTGTACCCTGTGCCAGCGTTTCTGGGCTATGGGGGGACTTTGGAACTCCGTTAGTGTAATGAGTGGAATTTTATTTAGTTTGACTCATGCTGATTTCTAAAGTTTGGTACTTGTGGTTTTGTGGAAATTCACTATGTCCTTGGTATTTATTATGGGATATAAAAAGATTTATGTGCAGTACTTAGCAACATGGCAGAGGTACTCCTGAACTAGTTTTCAGTAGAGAAACAATATCCTGCAATAGATAGACAACTACTCAGACCAAAGGTCTATCTAGTCCAGTATCTTTTTTTACAGTGACTACTGGTGAATGCTTGGCAAAAAAAAAAAAGTGTGATCATTCAGTATACCAAATATATTCAGTATATTCAATAATTTGTGTTTCAGCAGGTGTATCTATTATTATTTAATAGCCATTTTTCTTCCATGAATTTCATTCCATCAATTTTAACATCCAGTGTATGTTTTGGCAAACACTTCTTAGGTTACTTTATGCATTGTTTGTAAAAGTAACTTCTTTTTTCCTTGAATATGTCCTTTGGTTCATTCGTTTGATGTCTATGTATTCTAGTACTAGAAGAAGAGTATTTATTACTTCTTCATGATTTATTCCCTCATGATTGTCACATGGAAAAACTGTTCAGCTATGTGGTTTAAATCAAATCAAGTTCACCATGTTTTTTTGCCTTATTAATAACAGTTAACCAGCAATCAACCAGCTACACGTTCAAGATCAAGAGCAGTGATACAGCGGGTAACACTAGACATCCATAAAATGTTATTGAGCACCTGCAAATTTCGAAGCACTCTTCCACTGTTAATCTCAGAAGTTTTAATCCGCCTTCACGCTCTCACATACATGTTGACAGAGTTACATATGCACATACTGCCTTTTGTAGCAGACATGAATTTACGAGCACATATCCCATTTCGAAGCACTCTTCCACTGTTAATCTCAGAAGTTTTAATCCGCCTTCACGCTCTCACATACATGTTGACAGAGTTACATATGCACATACTGCCTTTTGTAGCAGACATGAATTTACGAGCACATATCCCATTTTTGGTGAGCAGCGTGCAAGTCTGCTTTTGCCACCCAGCTACTGTTAGAGATGAGGGTGATCTAGATTACATTTGAATATGCTGTAGTACAACTTTTCTCTTATGCCTGAAAAATTTCAGCAGGTAAATTTTCCCATTATTTATTCAGATAATAGTTCTCTTTGCAAAATTGATGCTGAATAACAAAAATGTAATTCTGTAAACTACAGAAGATGTCTGGTTTTCTTTCGCAACTTTTTGTCCTGTTGTCTTATCTGGATAGGTACATGGTCATTGTTTAGAATGGGGTGTCCTGGGTTCTGAGTTACTGGCTGGGCTTAAACCACAACACGGGGCCTTTGGGAATCATGCAGGAAAGGACATTTAGTTTTTGTTTTCATGGCTTTTATTCACCCCCTCACCCCAGCTTTTCTGACCTTCAAGATACATTTTTAGCTTACTTTCTCCAAAGATGACACTACCTTCTATATCTTACCTCTCAGGCTAGCAGTCTTTTATTTTTATCAATTGAATTTGTGGTGTGAATTCAGTCAAAGTATTAACAACAGTGTGTTTAAATACTCTGAAACAAATGAGAGTGATTAAAGGCAGAGCATCATTTTTTTAATGCAGTCTTTTTTCTTAGTGCATATAGGCTGGATTTATGAACTGTGAACTCAGCTGCACTTCTGTGTATTTTCTTTAATTTTATAGCGAGTATTACAGAAACACAGAATGGTTTGGGTTGGAAAGGACCTTAAAATCATCTAGTTCCAACCCTGCTGCCATGGGCAGGGACACCTTACCCTCGACCATGTCGCCCAAAGCTCTGTCCAGTCTGGCTTTGAACACTGCCAGGGAGGGAGCATTCACAACTTCCTTGGGCAACCTGCTCCAGTGCCTCGCCACCCTCACAGTAAAGAATTTCTTCCTGATATCTAACCTGAACTTCCTCTATTTAAATCTGAACCTGTTACCCCTTGTCCTGTCACTAGGATAGTGATAGGACACTAATGAAGAGTCCCTCTCTGTCATCCTTGTAGGCCCCCTTCAGATATTGGAAGGCTGCTATGAGGTCTCCATGCAGCCTTCTCTCCTCCAGGCTGAACAGCCCTGACTTTCTCAGCCTGTCTTCATATGGGAGGTGCTCCAGCCCCCTTATCATCCTCGTGGCCCTCCTCTGGACTTGCTCCAACAGCACCATGTCCTTTTTGTGTTGCGGACACCAGAACTGTACACAATACTCCAAGTGAGGTCTCACGAGAGCAGAGTAGAGGGGTAGGATCACCTCCTTTGACCTGCTGCTCATGCTTCTTTTGATGCAGCCCACTATATATATATTATGGGAACCTCAGGATCTGCAAACAAAAGAATGTTGTCAGATCTGTAAAAAGGAAAGAAAAGGAAAAAACCACCAAAAGCCAAACCAAACCCAAAAAAAAAAAAAAAAAAAACAACAGCCAAAGCAAAGTAAACATAAAAGGGCAAATTCTCAACTCATTTTTAAATGTGCAATTCAAATAAATGGCAGTGCTTAGTACTGTGGCACTGTATGAGCAAATACTTTGCTTGCACAAATGGCAAACCTATAGTTT